ATCCTCTCCTTGGCAGCACATGACCAGCTGCCAGCAGCGCTTTCGCAGCTGAAATTGACGCTACAAAAGAAATGCAGAACGATGTCTCAACACATCCTCGACAAGCTTGACATCAGCATGGACCGGCTTTATATTAATAATGTAATGAGTATACTGTTTCGCAGCCAAGTGTGATCATATCCCCTTCTAAAGACTGGATTTTACTTGCCAAGCTCCAAATACAACTGGAAGAAACTCAGAAACATGTACATTTCTATGTTCTCTCCAGTTGAACTTGGAGTTATCTTAATTATAATGTGCCTTTTTATCCTTTTTATTCCTTGTTTGATGGTTTTGGTCACTTGTCCTATATTGTCACATCTTTGTGATATTATGGCATGATTTGGGTCGATGTGCAACACTTCTGCGACACGTTACATTCGAAAATCCGAATAATGATTAAATTTTGCACATTAGTGCATAACATAAAAATAGATTGCTATTGGCTCTTTCGAAAAAAATAAACAAAAATAAAATGAACAACTTATACTTCTCATAAGGAAGTAAATATTCGTAAAAAGACTCTAACGCTGTTAAGATTACATATATTGTGCATGTTAAATAACAATTTTACTGAATTTAAAGGAAGCTTACTGAAAATACTATTGAACCTAAAAATGTAATAATGATTAATTAATATACTATTTTGCTGCTATCTTTTAAAGGGTTGATTTTACTTCTAAGTATTTAAATAGTATTGAAAAGAATAATAAAAATGTGTTCACGAGTAGCGGTGCTTTTACTTTAAATGCAATGTAAGTCTCCAGTTCAATGCATTCAGTGACCTTCCTCTTGTTTTGAAGGTCAGGTGTGCAAAATTTCATCAATATCTGATTGCTTTTAAATCTTTACGTTTGTAATAAGATAACAAACTCACAAAAAACTTAACATTTTGATAAACAGCACCATATTGCCGGATGGAACATAAAAATATTTTTATTCGGACAGATTCAACATATTTCTTTTAAATCGTTCATTTTGTTTATTAAATTCGAAAGACAAATACATTACAAGTGGCAACAGACCTCATTTATATCGTCGAATTTTCTGGTTGATTTTGAAACGTGAATTACTCAACGCGGAGATTGGCAACGCAAAGCTTTACCGATGACTGATGACACACTTGTCCACTTTGTATTATGTATTATACTATTACTATTTAGATTTATATTATTACCATTAGACGATAGTGATTTCAGAATTACCAAAGCAGGTATGTTTTCATTGAATATGTTTTTAATTTAGTGTAAAAATGATTCTACATCGAAAATCTTTGTCGGCAATAACAGATAACGGAGGATGACAGGTAACTTTAGGAAAAGGGGCTTGATTATTACTTTGCGGTGATTTTTTGCATAAATTCTATGTTATACAGTATAAAAGTATACAAATGTAAAAGAAAAGATTTAACAATTATACCAGAAATTTATAAATCACACACTAATTGATATTCTCTAGAAAAATCCGATATTCGCACAGTCTTAGCAAAATTCCTAAAATTAATGAAATTAATCTTATTCACGAAACAACAAAGTTATTGTTAAAAATAATTAACTAGTTAACCTAAAATTAGGTTAAAAAAAAACTAAGCTTAAAGAAGAAGGAAAAAATATCCTTCCATGTTATGACAAAATTCTTTCGCCCTTTTTAATGTGAATAAATTCCTCTATCAATGGACTTAAAGCATCCAGCTGGAATGTTTATACATCACTTACGTTACTCAAAAAGAAAACAGCATTTTTATTACCCCAAAAGAGGTAAGGCTTGACGTCAATAGTAAAGCTTTTTGGCAAAGTGACTCTATTTTGTTTCATTTTGGTACCAGAATTTCGAAGCAAATGAATAAAAAAAAAGAGTCACGTGAGGCAGTACTTTGTCATACATAATGTAAATCAAATAAAAACGAAAGAAAAAAAGTAATGGGGCAGACCTTAGATAGTGACCGATTCTTGAATCAACGTCGTTTATTGACTTCCGGAAGTGGTTCGCCTTGCATTTTAGCCTACTTTCCGAATATTGCCGTCCACTCTTTGTTAAAATATCCACGAGTGCTTTTAACCTCAGTGTTAAGAATTCATACAATTGTTGCGTTAATGCAAGATTTTCTTCTCTGAAATTCTGCCAAGATGCAAATGTAAAAGAATGAAAATTTCTACATTTCCCTTTTGTTATTAATGGTATTAAGATAAGAAAAATATTATAATCAAAATAAACACATTTGCTTGCTTGAAAGGTATTTAAACGAGTTATAGCAGCAATCGAATTGCAGAAAATTATTTTTGAGTTATACGTACGACTTATAATTTTTTACGCGTGTTTTAGTTTTTGGATTCAGTTATCTTCCTTGTAATAAAGAAAGAAAAAAATAAAAGAAAGAATCTTAAGTTTTATTAAATATTTCCTGATCGTATTCAAATATTTAAAGAAAAAGTCTGATGTGTACACCACATGACTTCCTTGTACGGAATATTAAATTATACGCATTTTATCTTGCATTTTATTTAAACTAATTGGATTGAATTAAATCTACTTCGCCGACAGCACAATAGAATAAATGCATTCTTTAAAATTCGCTCTAGTATTTGTTTACAATAGCAACACTCTGGCGCTAGATTCACTTAACAGTATTATATTTCGTTCATATTATAACTCATAATGCACAAAATTTATATCATTTAAAGAATAGAATTATCTAATCGTTGCCACATGTTCTATTCAAATACTATAATAGAGCTAGAATGATGTATAAAAGAAATTAAGCAAACAAAACAAAAAAGAAACAGTTTTTCATAGACGATTGAGTATTTCTTATTCAATTAATTGAGTTCTCACTTCGCGAGAAGGCAAAAATACTTAAAAACTCAAAATATCTATATTAAAAATTACGAAGTAAATTTTAATATAGATATTTATAAAATTTAATATAGATATTCCAGAAAGGATTAAGCATGATATAATTGGCAATAATAAATGAAGGCGTTATTTTTGTTGTTGCGAAGCTAAGTTTCTCTAGATTGGCAACAAATCCACTAGTCTGCTGTTTCAAATGTAAACAATCAATGGCCGCCGTCAAAAAAAAAAAAAAAGGCTTAGCGGCACTTAAACAACTTTAAAATTGTTGATAATTCTAAAAATATTGCACACAGATTTACTAAAGGCATAAAAACCTTAACCGGAAGATAAAAACAACATAATTCAATCATTTTTAAAGCAAAAAATGTACAATTTACAAACATATATGAGTAAAGAAACTGAGATCACTGAGCCGGGTAATACAGTGCATATATATATATATAAATATATTTATATACGTTTGGTGCGGCCGATTGCAACCAAAATACGAGGTGCACATCTACATGTTATAGCAGTCCTATATACAAAATTTCAACGATCTGAGGTTACTCGTTTTTGAGTTATGCGAGATACGTACGAACGTACATACGTACATACGAACGTACATACGTTCGTACAGACGCCACGAAAAATTCTCTTCAGAATTAATTTTAAAGCAGTTTTATAATTTTTTTGGAGGAAACGAGTCTTTTATTCTGTCCTTACGTACAGATATCACACAAAAACATCGTTAAATTGCATTCGATAGAGGTCAAAATGGATATTTTCGTTGAAATATGCTACCTGAAACTTTTCGCGATTACAATACTTCCTTTTTAGTTCGTACAAGGAAGTTAAAAAGAATTTCATATTTCTCTCAGTCATCGTAATATATCAGTAAGAATATATGTATGTTAAATATTATGTCCACTGACTTGTCCTGCTGATATGACTGGTAGGCGAGCCGATTGCCATAGTCCAGGTTCGAATCCTGAAGAGCGCATTAGTGTTTCTAAGCCTAATGCTTCTTCTAACCTAGGTGCTTGACACAGTACCGAACCGAATCGATGTTCACTCGAATGTTCTTTCGAGGGACTGATGTTAGCAGGTGAAAGAAAACCTCTAATCGGTAACCCAGTATATTCTCCTGGTAAGACCCACCTAACGCTAGAGGGCGCTGAGAGCGCCATTGAGTGTGTGCGATTTCTGAGTGTGTGCGCCATTGAGTGTGTGGGATGATGTGCGATTTCAGAGACTGAGATATTATTATATTATTATATATTAAATATTATATTTAATATATAATAATATATTATATTATTAAAATCAATGAGATATTATTATATTATTAAATCAATTTATATTTTATTGATTGGTGATTATTGATTTTGATTTATTGATATAAGATGTGATATTATGTTTTGCTGAACCACCACACTTTCGACAAACTTGGATTACCACTGAATCTCAAAACCACCGATGCGCATCTCCTTCAAAACTTATAATGAAGTTTTTCTCTTTCTTACGGGTGTAATTTCTGTCACAATTTGTGGTATATCCTGGGCAAAGCTATCGTTGATGATATGGCTAAATGGCGATGGATTTGGCCATTCTTGAAGAATATGTTGAGTTGAAATATTCAGCCACTTGGATATGCCAGGTGAAAATGCTGTTTTATGTAACTAATACCATAACAGAATAGCTTTTAAATACTTTATTGGGAATCAATGATGATTGAAAAGCGAATTTCTTAAAAAAATTACATGAACATATAAATATTTAAATATATCAGATAATATATACCTCATAGCTCATGATTTCGTCTATTTCTGGTTAAAGTCTGACTATTACGTCTGAGAACTCGGGTTTGCATACGAGAACAAGACTGGATAAGACATTGTGGTGGCAGTAATGGGTCTTTACGGAATGAAGATCTTTTAATGCATCATCATTTGAATCTCATAAATTTAGGCAATTTCCATATCAGTTTTTATTTCACTTTCCACATTAATTTTTCATTATTTGCTCTGTTATTCTCGAATATTTTAACTAACATTCGATTTGAGATAATCGTTATTTTGTGGAGTCATTAGGTTAATTGGAAGCAGAAAAGATGAAAAATATGCAACCGCCTTCGCCCAGGAATCGAACCACGGACCTCTGGAATGCCGGCCCAGCGTGCTACCGTTACACCACGAAGGCACGCTTAGGGAAGTGGGAGAAATACCTTATAATTTATCTGGTATTTTTATAGCTTCATAAACTCATTTCCTGAAAAATATTTTTGATGAGATATTCTTAGTATTTTAGATATTAGAAAATAAATACAAATCTGATTAATCCAGAGAATTTATGTAAATTTTACAGTCATTCTTATTTGTGGTCATTCTTATTTGTGGGGTAAGTTGAAAATATGAATTTTTTACATAATTACCTTTTGAGTTCAACTGATTTGAAACACCTTTATATAATATTTACTGCTACATAAGTAAACAGTATACAGACAATTGCTAGCTCATAAAATACAGTACTTTTAGATTTTTGTAATTATCAGTAACGTTTGGATGGAATATAATGATCTTTACCGGATAATGTGCGATTTCCTTTATTTAAGATTTCTATTAGTCTCATTTAGTTCAGCTGTATGATTCGTACAAGAATGTCGTATACATAATTTATTTAAATCGCTTCGACATAACGCTTTCTGATCACATATAACTTAAGCATCGTCGCATCAATATAGAACTAGTAAAGAAAAAATGATAACAAAAATTACATAAATGTTTATGTTCTCTCTTTATGCTCCTTTGTTTTGTGTTTTTTATTAAAGTTATTTTATTAAAGTTTTATTAAAGGAAAAGTAAGTCCTGAGCGATATAAATTCTACGAGTGTTTCTGAGAGACTGTTTTACTACTTTCATAGTTTCTGTACTTTGGAAAAGAAAATAAATATTTCATCCCTCCATATATTAAACGTACATAAAATACTGACCAAAGAAAAGCATTTCATGTCCGTTTGGATGTTAAAGATGTTTGAATGCAGTATATATACTAGACGTGAAATTATTTTTGAACAGTTTTATTTAGTTGATTTGTTTTCTTGTTCGGTTGGCTGGCTCAAAATACGGAAGTTTTTGTTCAAAATTATATTGCTCAAATTTTGCAAGAATTCAAGCGATTACAATAAAATATGCCACAGTTATTTTTCCAAAATTTATTATAATATTTTATGTTTATTTATTTAATTCTAAAGTGCCATTTCATAGATTTTTTTCACGCTTATTGCTGTTTAATGATAAAACTAATCGCTGCAAAACTGAGATCTTTTCATCACTAGATTGATCAAAAATTAATTTTCCAAAGGAAGTTATTCAAAATTTACAACGCAATTACATTTTTGGCGATTTTCTAAAAATCACGTGTAAGCTGCTAACAAAAGCTGATAAATAAAATAAAGAGAAATTCAAATAAATTGAACAATTTTATATCAGTGGATATATCAACAGACTACGATAGAGAAGCTAATATGGTGTACTGTGCTGCTATGCTTGTAACGCATTCTATATCTGGCTATCATAAACAAAGCTCGACGAAAACAGTTTAGTGAATAATCACTAAGTGCTACATAGTCAAGAGTTAATGATTTAATAAAGGGTGTAAAGAACCCTTTATTAACTCAAATCAGATTTCACAGATGGCACAGACTTGTGCTTAAAAAAAGCCGAAACTTTTGGCTTAATTCAAAAGATAATTAATAACTTCAAAGTTTATGAAGTATTTTCCCCCAATGGCGGGCACTTGCCTATAACGACTTCGGCCACTCCTAAGGCCATAAGTGGTGGTCATTTTATTGTTGAGGCACCTAATAGGCGGCCACCGTTACTTCATATGTGACGGGATAGGTAATTTTACATATATGCCTTTTTCGGGATTCCTATACCGTCTGGGCTTCAGTTTATGAAGTATAGCTTAACGGTTTCACAGGTTAACTATCGCACAAGTTGGCTCTGACCATAAATCGGCGTAAACAAGATTAATGACAAGAATAACTCAAAGCCGCAGAAATCTACTTGCGAGAGAATCAAAGAGATCAACGTAGCCTTCAAGCACGCACGCTCTGATTTCACCTTCCAAAACTTTCCTTTAAATTCCTTTAAATAAAATCCCTTAAATAAACGTTCCTTCTAACGCAATTTGAATAAACGCGCTCTAGTCAAATTGCATTCTGGCAAGCAAGTGCAAGTTAAAAAGGTAGGAAAGCTGCTTAAAATAACTGCTAAGTAAATTGAATAAATCCCCACACGGTGATTAAAAAATAATTATTTTCTTGTATCCAGTAGCAGAAATTTTCATTCTTTTTATTAAATTTTCTCTCCATGGATGCGTTTATAAAACATATATCAAAAATCTTTTTTAATTAGATAATGTTCATTAAATAAAATACTTTAAAAATTGTTTTTCGTTATAAATTTACAAATAAATTTTCTTATAAATTTATAAATAAATTAATAATATAAAATATAAATTATATTTTTAGTCCAAAGGGACTTTGTTCCTGAAGGACTATTGTTCTCGTTTTGCGATTTTGCGTTGTAAATGTCCGTTTCACTTTTCAAACTGTTGCCACCAAATGTTAGAGTCCTGCATTATATTTGAAGAAATTAAATAATGAAAAATCTGCATAAATGTATGTATATTTCTCGCATTGTGATAAAACAACGGAACATAGAGCCATCGAATTTTGAATGACGCAATTCTCCTACGAATATGGGCATATGGAAGACCAAATTTGGAATTTGTTTTATTATCGATTTCATATTTTGTAAAATGAATTTTTGATTAAAAAACTCAAGGATTTCAAAGCGAGCAATAGCAACACTCTACGGGGGGGAAACCTTTTCATCCCCAGCGCGTGGAACTGTATATCGGAAATTCTAAGGAAATTCTCATTTAAAAATTATTTTTGCGACATTGCTATTGAACTGAATTTTATGGTTTAAGAGCAAAGAACATGTTATTTAATAAATAAAGGTAACACACAAAACGTTAAAAAAAACGCCCCTTTGGATGTAATTTAGAATCTGAAACCTTTCAGGTTCTTTTTTTTTTTTTTTTTTTTTAATAATTTTTTATATAAATTATATTATTTCTGTCAGAAATCTGTTTAGGTGTCAGAATATTCTCAGCTTGTGTAACTAAAGGTAGAAGCATGTCGTGCCTATAAGTATTAACATAATTTTAAATAATAGATGTGTTGGCATAAAAGTGAATGCATGAGGACAATTATATTTAAATTAATTAAACTTTTGTATAACCGTTTTGTTTTTAAATCTACTATTCTTAGCAGTAAACAATTTTAGTTTTAGATACATATATCCCAAAACTATTGTGAAAGATAAAACGTGTCTCAAAATATTCGTTTTTGCTTCTAACATTATCACAATCTTTCTGAATACATTTCGGAAAGCTTCGTAAACCAATATACTTTGTTTCTACTTAACTCTGTAATGCCATTAGTCAGGTAAAGTGCAAATATAGATTTTGCGTCAATAAAATGGACGTTTAAATTATAGTATACTGAAACAACCTTCTCATAGGCTTATTAAAAAAATCATATATCAGAAACATTTTTATAAAGTCATTAAGGATTAAAATATTAAAAATACCTGTTGCATGTTAGCTACATTTGCTACATGTATATAGTAAAATTAGTAAAATTATATTAATTAGGCATAGTATGGAAAAAGCAAAATAAATGTATACGCTCTAACAGAAGTATGTTTATTTCTTTTAAATCTCCTAACTTGTATCGGTAAAATACGGTTTTAATTTTACTGACAATTAAAAAAATAAATTAATGATCTTAATTTTAGTGATGAATAAAAGATGCATTATTTGTTATTATTGTAAAGATAAGTTATCGAAATCCGTATAGATGGTAACATATCTGAGAAGTTGCAGTTTTAGTTTGCGTATATAACAAACAGCAAAGGTAATATAATATGAGGTAATGAATGAGATCGGAAGTTTGAAAATTAAATTATAGTCGAAAATATCAAATTGAAAAACTAGAATTAAAAGATATGATAATGCCTATAATATTTTTTTTAAAAACTTCAAGGTACTCCATTAAAACCTTAAGAACCTAAACATGAATCTCAGTACTAACGTAAAAGAAAATGAAATAACGTATGTAAATCCAGGAATCTTCTACGTTTTGGGCTATTTGCAGAAAAGCATTTGGGAACTTTGCGTGTTTCCAATTTAGAAATGCGGATCTTTCGGATTAAGAAAAGCACGTAGGCATTTCGAGTATATTTTATGAAATTAAAGAAATGGTTTTAAAGGGTAAAGAACATTAACATTTTAACTTAATACAAATAAACATAAGACTTCACTTAAATAAACATATACGTGTTCCACTCTGCTACGTTACTGCCCGAATGGAACAAAGATAAAGAGAAAGCAAATAGAAATTGTTACAAAACAAATAACCACCTGATAACCAGATCCTCATGCTGGCCGTGTCTGATCTAAAATTCGTAAATGACCTCGTTAACTGAATTAGTTTCCTGTTCTGCTCATGGAAACGAAAGATTTTTTTTAAATTGAAAAAATTTATCTTTCAGATTACATTTTTTGCAACAAAAATTTAGAAAAGAGTCTGCTATCTAGGTGTTATTTCGGTTACGTAAATACAAGATTATGTAATAAAACTATATTCTGTTCTGCTCGTTTTTATCTTTCGTATTTTATATACATCATATGTGAGCACACGAAGTTAATGTAAAAGGTCAATTCTCAAGTATTTTAATGCTCTCTTTAAAAAGTGTTCTAAATAAAGTACATTATTATAAAATTTCTTAAGATTAATTAGCAAGCTGTGATCTTAATTCAGTGAGTACTCATAAGCGGAAAATAATTTTACCAGATGAATAAACATATGTAGGTTTGCATATTTACAGATAAGATAAGAAGTACCTAAAAACTGAAGTTAACCTCAATAATGTTATTAGCTATTTATTCATAGTTTAAACAACTATGTTCATTAAAGTTCTCACAATATGTATTCTCAGAAAAAAAGGATCATATGCAAAACCATTACTTTTTTAAACAGTAAGCAAAATTAGTGTTTTAAGGTGGCATTAGTTCTTAGTCTGATATTGCTATGCTGCGGTCTACTACTTTTGCTATGCTGCAGT